ATATATATATATATATATATATATATATATATATATATATATATATATGTATATAGGCTTCGTGTTAATGCCTTTGTGTTGGCGCGCGATGTTTGTGTGGAAGTCAGCCTGTCAACCGTGTGTTTTGGTTAGCCACGCATTGGTTGTCGCACGCTACCAAGCTGAGTGTCTCATGAGTTCGGAGGTCATACGCTGATGACCATGAGCGCAGCTTAAAGCGTAGAGTTTTGACCATGTCGTCTGTTCGCCTTGTGGCGTCGGTTAAACGGTGTCTCCTGGTATGTTAAAAGTCGTTTATTATCAGCACGAAAATTCCAAGCCCATGTTGCTGGTCAGGCTGGAGCGCCAAGTCTTGCGTGTTAATATCCAGCTGACTGCCGCCGGCGCTTGCTGGTCACTGGGCGGCGGCGACGGCACGCCGGTGATGATCGGCCCGGCCTCCCCTCCAGGTGATCATCCGCCAACCCAACGGGCGTATCCAGTTGATGTGCAAGGGCGCCGACACGGTCATCTACGAGCGGCTGGGCGACCCGCGCTACAAGGACGAGACGCTCTCGCACCTGGCCGAGTTTGCCAGCGAGGGCCTGCGCACGCTCTGCCTGGCCGTGGCTGACATCGGCGACCAGGAGTACACGGTACGGTGGCGACGGCTCCGCTGCTGCCTGGCCGTGGCTGACAACGGCGATCAGGAGTACACGGTACGGTGGCGACGGCTCCGCTGCTGCCGCCGCCGCCGTGCCGGGGTCAGACGCTGACCGTGCGCCCCATCACTGGGAGCCGACGCGTGGGGTGACTGAAGAGCCGCGGCGCACGTCTGGTGCGCCGGATATTGTCGGGTTAGCCGCGAATGCTGGAGCCTTATTAGTATTTTTACTCGACTGATCATCGCGGGTGCGTGGAGTGGTCCTCCATAGCAGAAGCCTTTCCCAGACCTTGTACACGACAGTACCGCTGTAGCTGTCGAGAGCAGCGATAAGACCACCACTGACCACGTAACCATGATTGACGGCTGGAGAAGAGCTGCAGGGCGTCAGGTGACCTCATCCAATGCTATACACTGGTCTGTTTTGTTCCAGTATCATAGTTACACCAGCCCTGCTGCACTGATGCAATGACTGGAGATCTTATTACGAGGCGGCTTGATTTTGTTTGGAAATTGTAGCTTGTAGACTTCAGGACAGTCAGGTACACCTCAGACACAGCCCAGACACAGAACATGTCTCCAACGCTGCAGGTCAGTGGTCAGATGTCGATATTTTGAGTTGGGACTCGGGCGCGGTAGCCCTGGCACGCGTAACACCGTCAAAATGTGTTGCAACCACGACAAAGCTGTCGGTAACCGACGGAAGGGAGCACGCCAGCGAGAAGCCGGAAACCGGCTAGGGGTTTAATTCCGAAAGCAAGCTAACGGATATTGGGGCTCTGACGGCTTACGGGCAACGGCCCTCTACGGCCGAGATTTCGATCGGCGAGCAGCTACCTGGCCAGTGCAAGTGTAAGTACAAATTTCGCCGGGCGTCGCGTTTAAAAGATGCGGTATTTTCTACCAAAAGTATGCACCGCAGTTGTGCGTGCCCATGCACTGCTTCACTCGTGTGAAGCTGTGTCGCACGATCGTGCCACGCTCGAACTGGCCGCGCTGGGTGTGGACTGGAGCCTCCGATGGCCGCCGGGCCGCACCCGAACTGGCCGCGCTGGGTGTGGACTGGAGCCTCCGGTGGCCGCCGGGCCGCACCCGAACTGGCCGCGCTGGGTGTGGACTGGAGCCTCCGGTGGCCGCCGGGCCGCACCCGAACTGGCCGCGCTGGGTGTGGACTAGAGTCTCCGTTGGCCGCCGTGCCACACTCGAACTGGCCGCGCTGGGTGTGGACTAGAGTCTCCGCTGGCCGCCGTGCCACACTCGAACTGGCCGCGCTGGGTGTGGACTAGAGTCTCCGCTGGCCGCCGGGCCACACCCGAACTGGCCGCGCCGGGTGTGGACTAGAGTCTCCGCTGGCCGCCGTGACACACCCGAACTGGCCGCGCTGGGTGTGGACTGGAGCCTCCGGCGACCCCCGCAGGAGTGGATGGAGACCTACCACAAGGCGTCGACGGCGATCCAGTGCCGCGAGGAGAAGATCGAGGACGCTGCCCGGCTGATCGAGACCAACCTGGTGCTGCTGGGCGCCACCGCCATCGAGGACAAGCTGCAGGACCAGGTGCGCGACGATCAGGGCGCGGAACTCAGCCATGGGGCTGGGGCCGGGGGCGGAACGCTGCGCGACTGTCTGGGGTCGGGGAAGGGGCGTTGCGTGACGGTGAGGGGCCGGTGGTGGGGCACTGCGCGACGGTGAGGGGCTGGTGGTGGGGCACTGCGCGGCGGTGGGGGGCTGGTGGTGGGGCACTGCTCGACGGTTAGGAGCCGGGGGCGGCGTGGTCAGGATCGGGGGAGGGGTACTGCGACAGCCTGGGGCCAGAGAGGGGCACTGCGCGACAGGGGTCGGGTTCGGGCGAGGCACTGGGTGACGGTAGGGCTCTTGCCGTTACCTCCGGGGTTCAGGACGCCGTGGTCCGCTGTTCCGTCACCAAAGCTTCTGTTCGGAGCGGTATTCTGTTGTCAAAAGAGCAACAGGAGGACCGTGTGTCATCGGACAATTTCTGTCGCAAGCATCACATGGGCTATGCGTAACATTGACGATGCTTAAAACTGGGCAAAACTTACGTCCTCAAATGGCTGGGTGCGGGGCGGCGGCGCAGATGGCACGAAACACTTGCCAGCTATGTTTATTTGGCCCGGATGCTGCGGATAGCAGGGTGATGGTTCTGGCCCTGTTGGCGTGCGGAATGCGGTGCAGAGGACCGTGCCATGGGCCGCGCGAACCCCAGTCTGTCACACGCGCAACCTCTTGGACGCCGGGCTGTTCTTCTCTGCCCCAAGTGGGGGGTCAGCGGGTGTGGCATGCGATCTCGTCGGATACGGTCATATTTTCTCGAAGGTGTTCCACTATTGCACCCTGATGAGATTCGGAGGGTTTGAGTACAATAGGCGAGCGTCCACAGAGCGTGGCCGACTGTTGGTCAAGTGGACGTCGGATGGTGTTTGTGAACAAACTTTTTAACGACCATAGAAGATCACGTTTCAGTTGGCGCCAGGTAGTTTCCCAGTGTGGCTATACTCAGGTAACCCGTTGGCTTGTTGATTTATTGCGTTACTAACGCAGGACGATTCCGCCTTGTCACTGGACGAGTTGCATGGCTTGCTCTCTAGAAAAATGTGCACAGACAATATAAATGCATCTCGTGTACAAGTCAAAACGTAATTTTCTATTCCGGCAATCCGCACACATCATGTCAGGTCACCACCGTGCATGATATCTAGTGGACCAGTCTGTTGGGACAACGCAATTGCGGCACCAAGGTGCGCGTAAACGCATGAGGTGCGTAACGCTGGTGTGCTCGCCGCTCGCGGCGCGTGCGCTGGAGCCGGCGCCGCGCCGCGCCGCGCCGTGACCGGACGTGTTGCCGCGCCGCCAGGTGCCCGAGACCATCGAGTCGCTGCTGGCGGCCGATATTCACGTCTGGGTGCTGACCGGCGACAAGCAGGAGACGGCCATCAACATCGGCCACTCGTCCCGCCTGCTCCACTCCAAGATGCCGCTGCTGCTTCTCAACGAGGACGGACTGGACGTGAGCGCGGGGGCTGGCCCGAGCTGGGGCGTGCTGGGCCGGGGCGGCCGCTTTGGTACCGGCGGCGCGGGGTCAACCACGTCATTACCTGGGTTGTGGCCCGCTGCGAGAGATACGCCGCGTGCGGACGGATGCACGCTGCTGATTATTGACATCCTTTTGACTTACAATGGCACGGTGCTCGTTTCGTGAGCGGATAGATACGATGAGACTCCCCTTTAACGAACTATGTCTTGCTGTGCCGCGTCGGCCGCGGTGTACATTGCGGCTGTGGCGCTGGGCTGGGCCGGACCTGACCCGACCGCCCGCTGACGAGGCGCGGGGCAGCCGCGCCTGTCGGCCGGCCGCGACGCTGACCTTCTGATGGCGCCGCCGGCAGCGGACACGCGCCGTGGTGACGGAGCGGCTGAACGAGATGCGGGAGCACCGCGAGGAGGCCGGCCAGGTGGCGCTCATCATCGACGGCCGAACGCTGCAGTACGCGCTGACGCACGAGCTGCGCGCCGAGTTCATGGAGCTGTGCCTGGGCTGCCGCAGCGTCATCTGCTGCCGCGTCAGTCCCGGCCAGAAGGCTGAGGTCAGCGCCAGACGGCGGCGGCGGCCGGCAGTCATGCTCTGGCTCCGGGTGTGCCCTGAGGCCTTAAACAGCCCGGTCAGATGACAGGCCATGGGGCCCTAACCAGTCTGGTTAGGGCCTGAGATGGGCCTCAGTTGACTGCACTTGCTCGGCAGAGAGAATGTTCTCCGCATTCAGAATTCGGTCCTGTTTGTTTCTGCCGAACACTCCTGGGTGAGAACGTTGTGTCGGAACACGCTTATTGCTAAGTTGACTGGACACCGTGGTGTCCGCAGTCCCGAACCCAGGAGGTATCACGTGACGTCTGTCCGCGGTCTTGCGTCCACCTTGCGCTGGGCCTGCGCGCCGCTGCTTGGTGGTGTCGATGGTCGTCGTGGCGCTGGTGACCGAGCCCCGGTGCCGGCAGATCACCGAGCTGGTGACACAGCAGACCAAGGCCGTCACGCTGGCCATCGGCGACGGCGCCAACGACGTGGCCATGATCCAGGCGGCGCACGTGGGCGTGGGCATCGCCGGCGTGGAGGGCCTGCAGGCGGCGCACGCCTCGGACTACGCCATCGGCCAGTTCCGCTTCCTGGCCCGCCTACTGCTCGTGCACGGCGCCTGGAACTACAGCCGGCTGACGAACGTCATCCTATACAGCTTCTACAAGAACATCTGCCTGTACGTGGTGGAGCTGTGGTACGCCATCTACTCCGGCTGGTCCGGGCAGGTGGTATTCGAACGCTGGACCATCGCCGCCTACAATCTGGTGAGTGCCCGCCGCGGGCGTCTCCTCTGAAACCTTGCCGGGAGACGGACGGAACGCTTTTGGATGAGGTGCACCCAGTTGTCCCCGGAATCGTGTTCTCCTTTCATAAAGCCAATTTGACACATAGAGCTACAGAGACGCTTTGAATGATGTGTGGCGTGCCTCACAGTTCCGGCGTTTATTACCCCCGGTGTTGTTGGGTTTGAGGACGAGGTCGGAATGGCGGCTGCGCTTCGGTAGCGCCACGTACTTGGCGTCGTCGTCCCGGGAGCAGTCGTGAAAGGCTTGCCGCATGACGCTGGGCAGCCGTGGCTGGGCTGGGTGGGGCGCCGGGCGCCGCTGGCAGGTTCTGTCCCGCTGTGTGTCCGCACCGGTGTCAGTGACGCTCGGGCCCCCGGCGCCGCCAGCTCTTCACCTCCGTGCCGCCGCTCATCATGGGCTTCATCGACCGCTCGTGCAGCGCCGAGACGCGTATGAAGTACCCCCAGCTCTACAAAACCTCACAGCAGGGACAGCTCTTCAGCGTCCAGGTCGGTACCCCGCGGTCACGTGGTGCCCACTGCGGGCGGGGTCACGGTGGATCGCAGTGGTGTCGGCTATTCAGTACCTCGGGCGTCGTTGGGCGTCGCGTGTGTACCTAGCTGCTAAGTGGCGGGTGTTATTAAGTGGGTGGTCAAGGCTAGCTGACATGAAGCAGCACTGTCGAATGCAATTTGTGAACAAGAGACGGAACTAGATACCGTCTTAATGACCGGAGTCCTCATTTTGGTCGTGCGATGATGACGGGGTTAAGTTGGTCAGCACTCACTGAGCCCACAGCTGCCATTCATTGAAATGATTGGATGGTCTGGTCATGACGTACTTCTGGGCGGATTTTTTCATACTGCGATACTGCGCCCGGGACAGCCTGCCGACTCACTTAGAAGGCAGATTTGTGAATCTGTTCGGACGATCAGGGCCCTGGCTGCCGCGTGTCCCCGGATAGATGCTCTGCTACTGGGACAGCATGATAGCCTCACCGTGATAGTTAACTCATCGTAGCTCACTGGTCCCCGGAGAAACGTTAACTCACCGCCCCTGCACAGCCATACTGGCGAACATTTACAGCAGCACGGTCGCCTGTGTAAATTGCGGTCTCCTTCGGTCCGATTTCCCCGTCAGATGCACTAGATCTTGGGACGAGGCCCAGTCCTGATATTTGGCCCTCAGTGCTGTCGCGCCCCCTCGACATATCAACAACACACGCTTCATGACAACAGCAGACATCCTGTGAACGGGCCACATTCGGTCAGCAACGTGATGCCGCCCAGTGCCGGTACGGCGGTTCTGGCCATCGGCTTGATCGTCCGCCATCGCCGCCGGCCCCAGCTGCTTTTCTCAGCGATGTGGCCTCAGTGTTCTCACCGCCAGTGCCTGTCTGGACTCGCGCGGTCTGACTCGGCCCGATTTGTCTGTCTGAACTCGCGCGATCTGACTCCGCCAGAGCTGCCTGTCTGGACTCGCGCGGTCTGACTCGGCTCGAGCTGTCTGGACTCGCGCGGTCTGACTCGGCCCGATCTGGCATGACCTGGCACGACCCGGACATTTGTTCTGAATGTGACCTCCCCTGACCCTCATGAATGTGGCGGGGGCGGTGGCGCTCTCGGTGACGCTGTGCTGACTGGCCTGACGTGACCTGACCTGACTATGGCAGGTTTCTGGCTGTGGATCATCAATGCGTTGGTGCACTTGGTTGTGCTGTGCTGACTGGTCTGACCTGACCTGACCTGACCTGACCTGGCCTGGCCTGGCCTGGCCTGGCCTGGCCTGGCCTGATGACCCGACTCTGGCAGGTTTTCTGGCTTTGGATCATCAACGCGTGGGTACACTCGGTGGTGCTGTTCTGGTTGGCCTGACCTGGCCTGACCTGACGACCTGACCTGACCTGACCTAACTTGACCTTACCCTGGCAGGTTTTCTGGCTGTGGATCATCAACGCGTTGGTACACTCGGTGATGCTGTTCTGGCTGTCGTTCGGCGCCATGGAGCAGGACGTGGCGTGGTCCAGCGGCAGGAATGCTGGCTACCTCATGCTCGGCAACATGGTCTACACGGTGTGTACTCTTGGCCGCTGTCGCGTGGCAGAAAGCAGTACACATATGTTCTATCTGACGATCTGCTAATCTGAGGTGTTCCCCGGCGATGTCTGTGGTATGATGAAATGTACTTTTCGCTGTATAAAACGTGTTAACTATAGTCGTGTTCCGCGGATTCCCTCAGTATATGCGTATTGATGCTTCCTTCACTGCTCTGGTAAGTTACGGAGTATTTTTATTATTATTTTCCAGGTACCTGTATTTTCACCACCTTGATTGCTGTAACATGCCATCGCTTAATCAGCCGACAAGCTTTGGCGTCCCTTGTGCTGCTTTCTCGCGGTAAGGTTTCTCCCACCGATCAATTAGCATCACACAATCGACCATTCCCGCTCGTGAGCGTTCGCCACCCTGCGGGGCTCGGCTGGTACGGCGGGGCTGGACATCGCCCGATCATCGTCGGGTGCCGGGAGAGTGCGTGCTGCCGGCCGCGGCCATTGCGCGCGGACGCAGTGGTGCCGCGGTGTCTGCCTGTCCGGCCCGCGGCGGTGCTGTGTGGTGACGGCGTCTGACCGTCCGGCCCCCGGCAGTACGTGGTGGTGACGGTGTCGCTGAAGGCTGGTCTGGAGATGAAGGCCTGGACGTGCCTGACCCACCTGGCCATCTGGGGCTCGATCGTCGTCTGGTTCGTCTTTCTCTTCGTGTACGCCCAGCTGCCGTTGGCGGACGACATCCTCGGTCTGCACACCATGATCTTCAGCTCGCCCGTCTTCTGGTTCGGCCTGCTTCTGGTGCCGACCGTCACCATACTGCCGGACGTGCTGTTCAAGAGGTGGGCACGCCGCTGCTGTCGGCCGGCCTCGCGCGCTGGACCGCCAGCACGGCCCGCGGTCCGCCGCAGACGCCGCCGGCACGGAGCTCCCGCGCGACCTGAGCCGCCTCACAGGCCGCCAATGTTTGAAGCTGGTCGTGTCAGTTGGTATGGGCGCTTGTCATTTCCGGCAGGGGTAGCCACAGTTTGCAGGTAACCACCTAATCTTGAACTGGGCACAAATTATCTTTATTTTTAACCACCCTCAGCCTTTTAAAAAAGTTGTCTGTTTATCAATATTTTCTTTACTTAGTTGAGTTCAGCTAGTTTAAGACCCCAGGACCCGTCTTATTATCTACAACTCTGCCTGGTCCTTTCGTGTCGCTCCGCGGCAGGTATGGCTCGATTTCGTCAACAGTTGAGTGGTCCAGCGCACCAGTTTACACCTCACCCCAACTCATGGCAGCTGCCTCCTGGCGTCAAATTTAGTGATAAATCGCGCGCAAACCGGTCTCAGCGTGAGCCGGTGCGGTTCAACGGGCGCTAATCTCGCGCGTATCTGTCACGCGCAAATCGGTCTCAGCGTGGGCCCGTACGGTTCAACTGGCGCTAATCTCGCGCGTATCTGTCACGCACAAATCGGTCTCAGCGTGGGCCCGTACGGTTCAACCGGCGCTAATCTCGCACGTATCCGTCACGCGCAAAACGGTCTCAGCATGGGCCGGTGCGGTTCAACTGGCGCTAATCTCGCGCGTATCTGCGAAGCGTTTGTCCTTGCAAGAGCGTTTGAAGCATTTCTGCAGTGTTTACAGCAACAGCATAATTCGTTGTTAGTCCATCTCTGTTGGTAGCTAGTTGGTATGAGACGTAGTGGAAAGTAGAGGAGAATGGGCAGATGGCTAGGCAGTTAGAGGGTACGTGGAACAGCCAGTACATCAGAGGTAACAGACACAAACAGCCTCATAATAGTCCTGTTTCCGGACAGGGGTCCCAATGAAGTGTGCTGCGGTCCAAGGCTGATAGCGGCGCGTGAAGGATGACCTTGACTTTGGCATACATATTCCATCCACCAGCTAATTTCATGCGACATTATCTTGCAGCTTGACACGGACGTGTAGAAAAACTGCATAGCGTTGCGGATGACTTTGAAATAAGGTGTTAGGGTGAAAGCTGCATCACGCACAAGGCATCACGCTCGGTGCTCGGTGAAGCCGGCTGCTGGTTGTGTGTGAGCAGTGCCGCCCGCTTCATGAGACGGCGCCTACCTGCGGGGGCACGGCCGGTGTTCTGCCGTGCCTTCGGGGCGCCCCTTCCCCCTCCCCGTCCGCTGACTGGCCGCCTCCGTTTCGACAGCGTCGTCAACACCGTGAGCACGTCGCTGACGGACAAAGTGCGGGAGAGCGAGATCAACTCCAAGGACCCAGCCGTTCTGCTGGCCGGAGATGGCAAGCAAAAGTACGGCGCGCGCGTCGCACCCCTCGCCGCTCGGTAGCGCCTCCAGGCGCCGTCCTCCCGCTCCCCTCCGTGTGCTCCCCCTGCGACTGCAGCAAATCTCTGGTGTTGTCTGCTTACTGTGTTAATGTCTTTCATGCACATTGTTCAGTGTGTGTTTTCGAGTGCTTGGCTTACATGAAGTCTTTTTTCCTCAAAACCTTCGCTGCTATTGTCGATGCGTGGCTGAATGTGTGGGTTTTGTTTTTCAGTCTAGAGCCCATTCGGTTTGAAGACGCCATGTTTGGGAGCATCCCAGGCAGCTACCTCTCTGTTCGCGACTTTGGTTTGTAGCCGATCGTTTTTTCGCCCTGCTAATTTCACTTTTGGCCCTGTCACTTGCACATGTAGACTGAACGTTTCTCGGTTTAGTTTGCAAAGTACGTTTTAATATCCGTTAAGTTGTCGGGTAACGTTTCGTTGTTATGGAGAGTGATATCAATCGACTTATTGGCGTTTCGGTGTTGGTGCTGCCATATTGTACGCATAATGGCTGTGTTATGTCGTAGTTTTTTGGTACATTGATTTGCGCTGTCTTCCTGTTGTGCCATGCGCGGGCATAACATTTAATGCGTCCAGATACTTGCTCACCTCCTTAACGTTGTTAAACGCATTCTGTTACGCTATTCAATAACATTGCAACCCGATCTCCTGCCTATGGTCTCAGCATGCCGCTGGTAATTGTTCCTCGCCGACGGTACGCTGCCTGCGCTGGTCGAGGCATCTTAACCCTAGCTAACGCCGTGACGTGCGGGCTGCCAGCTTAAAGCCTGGTGGCGCGACCGGTGGCCATGGCCGGGACGCGCGCTCTGGCGGGTGGCGGTCGTGTGACGCGCCGCCGCCCGCCGCGTCCCCAGCCGCGCCCCTCCCCGCCGACCCCGGGTCGTGCCGCTCCGGAGATGGCGCCTTCGACGCCGGCCTCGCGTCGGACGAGCGCCGGCCTCTGCTGCCAGAGCAGCAGTCCCCCGTAAGCAGCGGCCCGCGCCCGGCCGCCGGGCTCCGCGGCCGCACGGGCGGCCGCCGCTGGTGGTGGCTGTCCTATCCGGGGTGGTGGTGGTGCTGCTGCTGCTGCTGCTGCTGCCGCTGCCGCTGCCGCTGCCGCCGCCGCTGCCGCCGCACTGGCGACGTCCGTCTCTCGGCTACTGGTCCGCCCGGGCGGTGGCGCCGACGGCCTTGTGTGGCTTCTGCTTTCCTGCGATCTCTCTTTCTCTCCCTCGGTGCCCAAGGACGCTACGCGGCCTGCGCTTGGCGCGGGGGTGCTGGATGGAGGCCGTCCAGGAGGCCTCGCTTTCTCGCCACCTCTCATCGCACTTGCGTGCCGCACGAGCCGTCGCATGCGTGCCCTCCGTGCTGGGCCGTCGCATGCGTGCCCTCCGCGTCGCGTGCCGCGTGAAGCTCGGCCCGACGCGCGGACCTTGCTGACCGTGGCGCGGCCGTTGCAGGCTGACGGAGACGGCGCGGCTGCTGCGCAACGTCAAGAACGTGTTCCGACGCACCACCACCCGCGTCGACCTGGAGGTAGAGCTCTCCCGTGAGTACTGGGGCGGGCCAGCTCCCCTCCCCCCCCCCTTCGATGGGTACCGGGGGGACCAGTTGTTCGTGAGTACTGGAAAGTGGAGCTCTGTTTTGGGTGCCGGGGGAAGGGGGACTCCTCGTAAGCACCAGGGTCTTTCGTGAGCACTGAGGGAAGGTTGCTCTCGGTTGAGCACAGGGCATTGGTCTCCCATGAGTGCCGTGGAGGTCACGCCTTTGAAAAGTGGAGCTCTTCTGTGGGCTTTGGGAAAGGGGCTTGCCGTGAGTTTTGGATGAGGTTTTCCATAAGGACCAGAGGAAGCACGTGAGTACTCCCGGAGGGAGGCTGTCAGGTAGGCAGCCATGGTCCGGGGACGGGGACCGCCTTCCGTGAATGGGAGTGGAAGGGGAGCGCTCTCTCTCTCTCGCCCTCTCTCTCTCTCTCCTCTCTCTCTCCTCTCTCTCATCTCTCTCTCTCTCTCACTCGCTCTTGTCTCTGTCTCTGTCTCTTCTATGTCTCTGTCTGTCCCTGTCCTGTCTCTGTCTCTGTCTCTGTCTCTGTCTCTGTCTCTGTCTCTGTCTCTGTCTCTGTCTCGTCTCTGTCTCTGTCTCTGTCTCGTTCTCTGTCTCGTCTCGTCTTGTCTGTCTCTGTCTCTGTCTTGTCTCGGTCTCTGCTCTGTCTCTGTCTCTGTATCTGTCTCTGTCGCTGTCTCTGTCTCGTTCTCTGTCTCTGTCTTGTCTTGTCTCTGTCTCTGTCTGTATCTGTCTCTGTCTCTGTCTCTGTCTCTGTCTCTGTCTCTGTCTCTGTCTCTGTCTCTGCTCTGTCTCGTCTCTGTCTCTGTCTCTGTCTCTGTCTCTGTCTCGGTCTCTGTCTCTGTCTCTGTCTCTGTCTCGTCTCTGTCTCTGTCTCTGTCTCTGTCTCTGTCTCTGTCTCTGCTCTGTCTCTGTATCTGTCTCTGTCTCTGTCTCTGTCTCTGTCTCTGTCTCTGTCTCTGTCTCTCTCTCTCTCTCTCTTCTCTCTCTCTCTCTCTCTCTCTTCTCTCTCTCTCTCTCTCTCTCTCTTCTCTCTCTTCGCTCTCTCTCTCTCTCTCTCTCTCTCTCGCTCTCTCTCTCTCTCTCTCTCTCTCTCTCTCTCTCTCTCTCTCCTCTCTCCGAAGGGTTGGAATTCGGGTGGGTACCAGGTTGTTGGGTGCTCTCCTACGAGCTTCGGGGATCAGGAGGTTCTCTGTCGTCCAGGGGGTTCTCTGTCGCTGCTTGTTGGAGGGGTGGGTCCCCCACGTGGGCCGAGAGAGAGTGTGTCCTCTAGCGGTGTGTGCCAGCTGATGTGATGGCTGTAGTCTGCGGCGTCACCACTGGTGTCGCGCTGAGTAACACGCCCACACGGGCGTGTCTTGCTTACACTGGTAGTGTGGTTCGTGTTCGTTGCTGGCGTTACATGTCGGTTATCAGGTGTCAGTCAGCCAGAATGCGTCGCGTTGTTCGCGTCATCCAGTGAACCAGAAACTGCGTTCCGATGGATGGTGGCTGAGGTCAGGCACGCCGGCTTACCTGTCGTGCATGCGCGGCCAGTTGGAACATTTCTCGTAACTACCGTTCGTGTTTTGCAGATGGATATGCGTTCTCTCAGGAAGAGGGTGGGGCCGGGCCCAGGCTGCTATAATTAGAGCGTAAGACACAACTCGGCCCAAACCACCGGCATGTAACTTGGCCTTGGGCGGGCTCGCGATGTGCCAGCGCAAGACGACGTTCGCGTCGGCAAAAGGTCGGCATTCAAGGTCTCCGTGGATGTGTGCACGAGCCCAAGACCACCGCACTTAAGATGTTTGTAAGTGACGCATGGCAAGACCAGTCCCATTTTCACAGGCATGTTAGCTTACGGCAAGACGGCCCCACCCCTGGGGCCGGACGGCGCTTAGTCGGTCTGTAAGTTGATATGGTGACATGGCAATGGCCTCGCCGCCATGTAGGCGGTGTTGTGAACGGCGCGACGTCGCGAGTATATGAAAAGCACCGCAGTGCAGAAGCCGCTGCGACTGGCGCATGTCGTCGCGTCGCTGCTCGCTGCTTATGGGCGGATCGTCCATGAGCCAAATGGGAGAGGTTGGTCGGAGTTCGCTTCGGCGTAGCTGCTTTGTCATCATCGTACTCGTAACCGGTTTTTGTTGTAATGTGCCCGTCAATGACCCGCATTCTCGCACTCCACACATTCAGCTGCGAGTCCATCGAGGCACACGTGTTCCTCCCCGGCATGCCACGACGTGCCCGAGCATCGGGTCGCGCAGGTGACTCCCAAGGTCGACGGGCGTGACGTGGGGTCCGACGATATCGCCACCTGTCGGGCCACAGCGGGATCCACCTGACGGCCCACCCGTGCACTCTCCGCTGTTGTGTGCGCCGCCGCGGGGCCGTGCCGTGCCGTCTCCGGGTTGCGGTGCGGGGGCGCCGCCGCGGCTGCACCTCCCGTCGGGGTGGGACGATGGCGCGACGCTCGGACGGCCTGGGGGCACCGCCCTGCCCAATCAGGCGCCCCTGCCGCGTCGGCGGCGCTGATCGACGGCGTGTCTGCCGTCGGCTGGTCTGCTGCCAGCCGACGGCGTCCGTGCCCCCCCCCCCCCCCCTCCCGACCATCGCCGGCGCCGGAACGGCGAGGGCAGCCAATGCATGGCAGCCAGCGTGGGCAGGACTCGGGCATTACCGGAGCGGGCGGAGGGCAGTGGGGCTGGGAAGTGCTGTGAGTTGCGCACGCTGGCGGAGGAGGCGCGACACCGCTCGAAGAACTGCGAAGGAATGCACGTTTGATATCGACGAAGATCAATCTAATCGGTTGATTTCACAACAGGCTTGTTCGATTCGCTTGCGGTGGTTTGGTTTTGTTGATGCATTCGCCTGGTACAAATGTGTTCTGATCTCAGTTGTTTACGCGTCGGTCGTGGGCGACTCGCTGGAGGGTACGCTTCGCGCGCAGCGTGCGCGCATGGATGGGGGAACACTATGTTGGGGTGGTTGGCTACGGCGGTCGTCAGTCGACTGGCGAGAGTTGTCTGGAAAGAGGCGTGCTTGGCGCCCCGCTGATGCATTTAAAGTCTTTCGGCGAGGGACGTTTGTTATACCGTGTGATTTGTTCGATGCCGTGGTACGGGGCCGAGCGCGCTGTCCTCGTCGCGGCGCAGGCTCGCCCGGCTCGCGATTTTTATATGTGTTTCTCTCGGCTATGCGTTGCTCGCTGGTGTCGGCTGCCGCAGAGCAACACCGTTCTGGTCATGACAAGGTTGCAACAGGTACCGAGTCGTGGGCGCGCGCGGTGATCCGAGCCCGGACGTCGGCTTCCCATCGGGAGAAGTATCATGCCCTTTTCTGTGCGAATTCGGTATCAATACATGTGCATACCGCTTGACGTTTAGCTCCCCAAGCCCCCCAGCCGCAGACCGCGTTCGTAGCGGACCGGTGGTGCGGCCGCACGTGCAGCGCGTTAAACCCCCGATGTTGCCCACGCAGGACACGGCTGTGTTGGCGGTGTCCTGCGTGGTGGTAAGGACGGCTGCTGACCGATGCGTTCGCCATCGGAGGATGTCCCATCATCGCGTGCCGGCTACCTCGGGTCGCGTCAGCACCAATCACAGCACTTGCTGTGGTAGACCCAAGATTTGATCCAAACCCACGAAAACCCAAGATTCGATCAAATTTAGCAATTCTACCATACTTCTGTTGCTTGACAATTTAAGCATGTGCTTCTTGCATCTTCAGCGAACGCCATGGTGCCTCAACCAAGTGGCTCTGTCGGGCGCGTATGCGCCTGTCACGTTCGTTCCTCGCTGCCCTGGCCACGTACCGTACATCCTCCGATGGTTTTTGCACTGCGTCGCGGACTCCAGAGAGGGACTGGGGCAGAACCTGTGCGTTAGTCTGCTGGGCTGCCGAACGGAAATACAACAAAAACGAAGCGCCGCTCCCTGCCAGGTGCAGGCGAACCGCCCAGCTCCCGCCGGTAGATCCAGTTTGCCCCGGTCGCCTGCTTGGCAAAAGGGCTGCGATTTGACCAACTAGTTAGGTCCCATTCCCAAGTGACCGTTTTTGTGCTGACCGTGCCGGTGTGACGAGCGCAGAGCTGCGGTCGAAACAGGGAGTTGGCGGTGGC